CTAATAAGAGGGTAATCTAATAATCTAATGTCTAACACTTTTATGTTCAGTAAGGGGAAAAAAAGAAATGCAAACAAATGATTAAAACACAGAGAAGGGACCAAGAAAGAATCCAGGAAAAGTTTCCCAGCACAGAGGTTTCGGGGCTGAGATCATTCCAAGGGCCATGAGACTCAAGAGGTCTGGTTCCTGTGATAATACAATCTTTACTAAAGCAGTAACGTCAGATTATCATTTACAATGGCTGTGGTAATTAAGAACTCTAACCTGACTTACCTGCCTCTTATTCTACATTCACAAATTGCAGATACATAATTTGTACTTCCAAGAATATTTTTTTAATAAAGTAACAGCATTGGCCAGCAGCTTCAGACATCTGTATTCTCCTGACAGTCACATTTCTCATTGTAATGTACCGGCATTTTGTTTCATCCTTTGCAAGTATGGTTAGTGTGAATCTCACACTAGTTACTATTAGTAGATTGATGAAATAAATTTTCTAACTGAAAAGCTGAAGACCAAAGTAGTGACAGCCCTGCTGAGAAACAAAATCACTACAGTACCCTTTTGTTAAAATTATTTCATCTCATCTCTACACATGAATGCAGTGTGGATTACTAGACAGAACTGCTGAACCTGAAGGCAAAACCTGGCTTCTAATGTCACCCCATCATTTATTAACTGTGTGATCTCTGGCTGATGGGTCTCACATACCTTTACATAAAAAATGGAAAATGGGATTTACTTGCCAGCCAAACTCACAAGGTCATTATTTTGTTTTTAATGTTTATTCTTAAGAGAGAGAGACAGAGACAGAGACAGAGCATGAGTGGGGAAGGGGAGGAGAGAGAGAGAGGGAGACACAGAATCTGAAGGTGGCTCCAGGCTCCAAGCTATCAGCACAGAGCCTGATGCGGGGCTTGAACTCATGAACCGTGAGATCATAACCTCAGCTGAAGTCAGATGCTTAACCGACTGAGCCACACAGGCACCCCTCTCACAAGGTCATTATTAACAAAATAAACAATGAATAAGAAAAGGCTTTGAAAACCATGAAGCACTAAGATATAAGATATTATTACTACCTTATTATCCTGCAAACAATCTATGCCAAACAGTCCATTAGTGAAAGCATCATAATCATTTCCAAAGACATAAGAAAAAAAATCAATATTACAATGAAGAAAGGAAAAATTTCCACATCTTCTATTGTGCTTCTCATACTGACAATTTCTTCCTACAGATTGGGAGAAATAAAATTTGAACTTGTTCACTACTATAAGAACTCTCCTTTCCAAAACTTCCAGAACAAATCTAGTTCAAATGTGGTTGTTTCTGGCATATGGCTACGTATATAATGAAATGAGGTCAGAAAAGAGTTTCCAATTAAACAAAGATATAAATTTAAGAAAACAGAGGGTAATTTCAAAATAAAAAGTGGCATTATTAGGTTAACATCCCTCAAAAGAAGAGTTCATCTTAAATATTTTTAACCCTCTAGTTAACATAAGGATATAGGCCTCTCTGCTGGAGAAAGTCAATTTAAGTGATTAATTGGCAGAAGTGATGCTTTCTTAGTTCTCAACTGAATGATTTATGGGAACATGCAGAAATGTATTTGTACTTTGTACCTAGGTTTTTTTCTTCATTTGGGGAAGAAAGAGGCAGATTTCAATTTTAGTTGTGTTCAGGTACCCTTCCCATGTGCTCCCATATCAGCTCTACAATGAATTATAACCATCTGTCTACTTGTGCTTCCCCTTCCAGACTAGAACCTTCAGAAGGGAAGAGAACATGTCCAGGTCATTTTATCACCCTCTAGCTATTACCCCAATAACTGGAACACAGAAGGTGCTCATTAATTGACTGAATAAATTAAGGAAAAAACTATAGATATATTAGATTGACTTTTCTTTAAAGTCTAATGTTCCTTTGGATTATACTCAAATTTAATCTTTGAAATTTAGTAATATAGTCAACATGTATTCTGTATAATAGATTTATGCATGTTAAAGCAGCTGAATATTGAAACTGGTAAATTAAACAGATGGAAATGCTTAAATTATATGTAGAGAAGATGAATATATACATTTATTAATATAATTCATTTATACATTCATTCAAAACATTTCTGGAAAATCTACTACATTCTAATCACCATGCTCAGGAACTGGGAATAGAAAGTCAGGCAGGCCTTAAGCTCTCAAGGAGATGACTACCTGGTGAGGCCGAGAATCAAGTAAATATTCTGATAGAGGTGTGTGCTGGGACCATGGAATGACTGTGGAGGGCAGTAAGGTACAGCTGGAGGGGAGGGGTTATATGGAAGGTTTCACAGAGAGGTGATGCTTGAACTGAGGACTGACCAAACAGCAAGAGTAACTAAAACAAAGAAACAGGCATTCCAGGCAGAGAGAAGATGAGGTACCCAGAGCTCTATTGACAGAGGGAAGGCTGCATGCAGAATGGCATAAGATGATGATAAACACAGAGAAAGAGAAGAGAAATCCCAGATTGTGGAGGGTCCTATGGGTCAATGATTTATCAGGAATCTTCAGTGAAGAAGGAGGTATATTAGATTCTCTCCTCAAGGGACTCAGAGTCTACTTGAAATAGATTAGGAATAATAGCCAAAAGGTCCAGTTTAAAGCAAAACAACAACAAAAAAGGACTCAGGCACACACACAAAAAAATAATCTTGCCATTTGCAAACAATATGAATGGACCTAGAAGGTATTAAGCTAAGTGAAGTAAGCTACATAAAGACAAGTAATTATATGATTTCACTTGTATGTGGAATCTGAAAAACAAAATAAATGAACAACAACAACAACAAAAACAAAACAAACAGACTCATAGATAAAGGCAATAAACCAGTGATTGCCAAAGGGGAAGGGAGTGGGGCAATGGGTGAAATAAGTGAAAGGGATTAAGAAGTAAGAACTTCCAGTTATAAAATATATAAGTTGCAGAGATGAATAGTACAGCGTAAGGAATATAGTCAATAATACTGCAATAACTACTATGGCAACAGATGATAACTACACTTATTGTGGTGAACATTTTGTTATGTACATAACTCTTGAATCACCTGTTGTACATGTTGTACACCTGAAATGAATATAACATGTTAACTATACATCAACTAAAAATAAAAAAATAACTTTTCCTTAAAAAGTGGAATTTTAGATTAGCTAACAGATGAAGTAATGAAAAAAGAAAAAGACACTTTTAATTCAAGGCAACTTAGCACTTATCCGCACTTCGCGATTCAGTTTTTAGATAAAATCACATCTCGGGGCCCTTGGCTGGCTCAGTCAATAGAGCATGCAACTCTTGAGCTTAGTGTTATGAGTTTGAGACCAATGGTGGGGGTAGAGATTAAACTCTTAAAATAAAAGTCACATCTCCTAAAGGATAAGAGGAAAATTAGGTATGACTGTTAACTGTAAATTGTTTATAATTTTAAAAATCAATTTTTTTAACTTAAAAACATGTTTCTCTCTGTAGAGACTGCATTTCCAAATATATTTATCTCTCTCATAGAAACACCCATCTTAGAGCAAGTCAACATGCCAATATGAATGTCAATACTGGGCAGAGATGAAAGAAATAACAGTATTTACAAAATCATCATTCAGAACCACTATTGCTGGGAGGCAAAAAGCCCCAGAATGAGGAGTGCAGGCATGCTCTAGTTGCAGGAAGAGTTCACTCACAGTCCAACTGATGGAGTATACATCTAAAAGCAGTGTGGTATTTTAAAACACAGCACATATCAAAACTACAACCTAATTTTGGATTGCTTATTTTTATGCGATAAAGACATGAGTATCCACTTAAAAGATGGAATATCTAAGTGCCTGTTTTCCTCATGTAATAAAGTTACTTTTTCATTTTTAGTGACTAATGGGATGTAAGTTACTTTCAGGGAAAAAGAAAACAGTCAAACGTTAATCTGAATGTCAGTAAAGAATGACAATCTACAGGTACATCCATGGCAAATTAGACTTAATCGCTTCCAAATACTGAAAAATTCAAGTCAGTTTATACAAAGGAGACTATGGAGAGAAACATGAATGTCAATGGGAAATCTGGCTAAATCCCACTACTTCTAGTTCATTTCATAATTTGTTTCTAAATTTTATCTCTTGGGAACCCGAGGAACCACAGGCTAACTCATTTAATTGTAATTGAACAGTATTATTTATTTGTAACCATTTAATTTTGCTCTTCTAAGAGAAAAAAGCAAGCCATCATCTTTGAAAGGCTCTTCTTTTTCCCTGTAACTAATTATGAAAGAGAATGACAAATATAATAAACAAAATTCCCATGTATAAACAAGTAAAGATGGGAAGTAACAGAAAAATTCTAGAAGCATATTCACTGTGTTTAATATAACTTCAGCCTTCTAAAGACTTGATTTCTCAGCCTGTCCAATGTCTGGGCCAAGGATAGTCATAACAAGGACAAAGTCATCAAAACATATTGAGTTAATTGTAAACTAAAAAAAAATTATATGTAAGATAATCATAATTAGTTAATCAATCATGGTATTTTATGGGTATTAATTATGGTATCTTTTTTTCCTTTGGACTAATTGATCTTCTCTTTTTTCTTTTATGTTCTATTTTATTATAGTCAGCATCATGCTGCTATTCCCGCAAGTACTGAACAAGCATGGGATGTGAATATCACACTCCTAAATAAATGAATTGCTCAATTTCCTGTGACCATCTATACATCCTCCATCTTCAGAAAGTGTATCAGTGTTCTATCATAGAGGAGATAGTGGTCTGTTTTCCAATATGCATGACATCTCTGGACAAGACAATTGTGACACCAGCACTTATTTCCATGAAGAAAAACTTTGTGGTTTTATGGCATTCATCATTTGACAAATGCACCTATTTTCCTTATCAATCAGCTCTTACTGAACTTACTCGCAGTGACTGTGGAATCCTTAAGGGCCCATTAAATTTCTGAAGAAGAAAGCTAAGATGAAGGACATGCCACTCCGAATTCATGTGCTACTTGGCCTCGCTATCACTACACTAGTACAAGCTGTAGATAAAAAAGCGGATTGCCCACAATTATGTACATGTGAAATCAGGCCTTGGTTTACACCCAGATCCATTTATATGGAAGCATCTACAGTGGATTGTAATGATTTAGGTCTTTCGAGTTTCCCAGCCAGATTGCCTGCTGACACACAGATTCTGCTCCTACAGACTAACAATATTGCAAAAATTGAATACTCCATAGACTTTCCAGTAAACCTTACTGGCCTGGACTTATCTCAAAACAATTTATCCTCAGTCACCAATATTAATGTAAAAAAGATGCCTCAGCTTCTTTCTGTGTATTTAGAGGAAAACAAACTAACTGACTTGCCTGAAAAATGTCTGTCTGGACTGAGCAACTTACAAGAACTCTATATTAATCACAACTTGCTTTCTACAATTTCACCCGGAGCCTTTATTGGCCTACATAATCTTCTTCGACTTCATCTCAACTCAAATAGATTGCAGATGATCAACAGTAAGTGGTTTGATGCTCTTCCCAATCTGGAGATTCTGATGATTGGGGAAAATCCAATCATCAGAATCAAAGACATGAACTTTAAGCCGCTTATCAATCTTCGCAGCCTGGTTATAGCTGGTATAAACCTCACGGAAATACCAGATAATGCCTTGGTTGGACTTGAAAACTTAGAAAGCATCTCTTTTTACGACAACAGGCTTATTAAAGTGCCCCATGTTGCTCTCCAAAAAGCTATAAACCTCAAATTCCTGGATCTAAATAAAAATCCCATTAATAGAATACGGAGGGGTGATTTCAGCAATATGCTACACTTAAAAGAGTTGGGAATAAATAATATGCCTGAGCTGATTTCCATCGACAGTCTTGCAGTGGATAACCTGCCAGATTTAAGAAAAATAGAAGCTACAAACAACCCCAGGTTGTCTTACATTCACCCAAATGCATTTTTCAGACTACCCAAGCTGGAATCACTCATGCTTAACAGCAATGCCCTTAGTGCCCTGTACCATGGTACAATTGAGTCTCTGCCAAACCTCAAGGAGATCAGCATACACAGCAATCCTATCAGGTGTGATTGTGTCATCCGCTGGATTAATATGAACAAAACCAACATTCGATTTATGGAGCCAGACTCACTGTTTTGTGTGGACCCACCTGAATTCCAAGGACAAAATGTTCGGCAGGTGCATTTCAGAGAAATGATGGAAATATGTCTCCCTCTTATAGCTCCTGAGAGCTTTCCTTCTAATCTGGATTTAGACACTGGGAGCTATGTTTCCTTGCATTGTAGAGCTACTGCAGAGCCACAGCCTGAAATCTACTGGATAACACCTTCTGGTCAAAAACTCTTACCTAATACTCTGAAAGACAAGTTCTATGTCCATTCTGAAGGCACACTAGATATAAATGACATAACCCCAACAGAAGGGGGTTTATATACTTGTATAGCAACTAACCTTGTTGGTGCTGACTTGAAGTCTGTTATGATCAAAGTGGATGGTTCTTTTCCCCAGGATAACAATGAATCCTTAAATATTAAAATAAAAGATGTTCAGGCCAATTCAGTTCTGGTGTCTTGGAAAGCAAGTTCTAAAATTCTCAAATCCAGTGTTAAGTGGACAGCCTTTGTCAAGACTGAAAATGCTCATGCTGCCCAAAGTGCTCGAATACCATCTGATGTCAAGGTATATAATCTTACTCATCTGAACCCATCAACTGAGTATAAAATTTGTATTGATATCCCCACCATCTATCAAAAAACCAGAAAACAATGTGTAAATGTCACCACAAAAGGTTTGGACCCTGATCAAAAAGAATATGAAAAGAGTAACACCACCACATTTATGGCCTGCCTTGGAGGCTTTCTGGGGATTATTGGTGTGATATATCTTTTCAGTTGCCTCTCCCAAGACATGAACTGTGATGGTGGACATAGCTATGTGAGGAATTACTTACAGAAACCAACCTTTGCATTCAGTGAGCTTTATCCTCCTCTAATCAACCTCTGGGAAGCAGGCAAAGAAAAAAGTACAGCACTGGAAGTGAAAGCAACTGTTATAGGTGTGCCAACAAATATGTCCTAAAAACAACTAAGTAAACCTACTTCAAAGAAAATCTTAAGACTGCACCTATGCTTGAAAAAAGACAAAAGCAGAGAAATATTACTTTCTAGAAAGAAGTTTAAGCTTCACCAATGCTGCTCCTGACCAAGGGAAATATGTACAAGTTCAGCATTTTAATTACCTGGCTTCAAAGGGTACTGTGGCAACCAAATAAAATAATTCCATTTTCTAGAACTTTCATGTAACTTTTATGTCTGGACTACAGTTAAAGTGGACAAAAACATTTCTGTATTTTTTTTAAGTATATAAGAGTAGTTGAACTGAGCAATACCTCCTCCTGTGTTGTATTACACATATTAGCCACGAGTTTTTGCAGTGACTAGATAACTTGAATTGACACGTGGTGTAATAAAATGGACAAATTCTGTAGAGTAGACACAGTGAGTATGTGGGTCTCTTTTATAAGAAAAAAAATACATTTTGGATTAAAATCAATTGCTTTTGTCTTGTTTTTGTTTCTAAATAAAGAATAATTTCTGGGAAATGTCATCTGATCAAGTGTCATTTAAATGACAGCATTTTTTAAAAGTGTTTTTCTATAATGAAATTTGGAATGCTAAGACACTTTTATTGGGTTCTGTAATTACATATTTGTAATGTACAAGAATGAATTTAGGACATTTTATCTGTATTGAAAGGCAATAACAACAACAACAACAACAACAGCAACAACAACAACAACAACACTCTATTTAACACTTTATTGACAGAAACAAATCCTCAGGGATATCATGCAATCACTTAAATACTTTCTTAACAAGCAACTTTTGGAGTGGATTTAATTGTTAAGTTCACATACTGTAAATCCAATATCTGAGGAACTGAAAATTTTATTTTAATAATTAGTAGTACCTCAACTGTAAGCTGCTTGCTTTGCAGAAAATATTGCCAAATTTTGGCAGGACTTAGGATTTAGGTCTAATTTTCAAATCTCTGATTCTGAATATTTAATGTGCTTCACTGCAGTAAGAAGAAAATGATATAATAATTTGCTGTGTTTCAAATCTAACAACCAAACACGTTGTACAAGAACCCAAAAGAGGGAGGTTTATATACTTGCATAGCAACTTACCTGGTTGGTGCTGACTTGAAATCTGCTATGATCAGAGTGAAGGGTTCTTTCCCCAGGATGACCATAAGTTTTAGAATTTTAGAAGACTAGGATATTCCAAGAGTAGGATTTTAAAATTTTACTTTAAACATATTAGATATTTGGTAGAGTATGCTTATCAGGTTCAATTTTATAAAATTCTCCCTTTTATTTTGTTCACCACCTTACAAAAGTGACATAAATCAGATAATTCCAGAGTGTAACAAAATTTAAGAGGATAGTTTTGATAATAAACAGAAAAAGCTTCAAAGACTAATTTAGAGTAAAGGGAAAAGATTTAGTTCTCTATGACTATATTTAAGACACCTAAAAAACACAGCTTAAAAAAATCACTGAAGTTCCAAAAACATTACTAATCATTTAAAGATCTAAAATAGGAAATATAAAGATTTCACTTGGAGAAAATAACCAAAGTCTTTCAGGGTTTTAAGTCATATTTCCAAACAAAGACCCACAGTCCTAAAAAATAAATGCATTTGTGTACAAAAAAATATCCTGAAACAATAAAAACCTTCTAAGATAATAAGCCATACTTTTTATAGGCAAATCGCTTACCTCTACAAAGCAATAAGGCTTCCATGTTAATTGCTGCTTTGCCTGTTCATAATGAAGTGTTTAACTTTTCTTACAATAGCTTGCTGCATGTTATCAACATGTCACTGGTCTGTGAACATTTCCAGCCCGTAGCCATATCAATTTATTTGTTAATGCAGACATTTGCTTTTATGATAGCCTTGACAGTTTCTAATTAAATCCTGCTGTTTTTGACAAAGTGGAAGGTAATTGTTATGAACTCTTTAAAACAAAAGGACAAACTGTGTTAATTTTAACACATCGAAAATATAAAACTTGCTAATTCAATGTGTTTCCCAAACACAAATTTTACATTCTGATGAATCACTATCAGACAGAGGCTGACATTAGAATTTATCAGGAAGGCATGCTCATACATCATGAGATGTTTCAGCACCATGGACAGAGCTTTTTAGAGCCAGGCTATTTGTCAAAAATATAGGAGCTGAAATATGACCTATTAGGAGGCAGGTATTGCATAGGTCAGCAAGAACTTGCTCAGGTATCTTGTATGTTTCTTTTAAACCTATCTGCCCGAAGAACTATAACAAACATAGCAGAAAGCTTAAAATGCATTTCAAGCTACATTTTTCTTAGAAAAATTGTAGCAAATAAGCACTCTGAATAGTTACCTAACAGTGGACAATGAAATGAAGTATTTTTGTTACAGCCAAATAAATACAGATGCTCAAAGAAAATCATGATCCTATTTACTTCTTTAAATTTAATCTAAATTGCCAATGAGAGTAAAAAGACATTTGCTTCAATAACAAGAACGGCATTTCCTTCTAAGCCTCACATAAAATTAAGCACTAGTCAGAATACTCAAAGCATGTAACTTACACTTTGGTGATACTATATGGATGCGATGGCAAACTTTACCTATAACAAAACTCTAAAGTTTATACCTCTGTGAATGTCAACGGATCTTCTCACCTTGTATGGAGAAAAACACTTTTTCACAAAAATATTTAAAAATTTTTTAAATTTGATTTGAGAGACAGCACATGTGCACAAGCAGGGTAGGGGCAAAAGAAGAGAAAGAGAAAGAGAGAATCTCAAGCAGGCTTCAGGCCCAGCACAGAGACCAATGCGGGGCTCAATCTCATGACCCTGGGATCTTGACCTGAGCTGAAATCGTAAGCCGGATGCTCAGTTGACTGAGCCACCCAGGCAACCATTTACAAGAATGATTTTAAAATAATTATATGCTTTATAATTTATACTATGTAATAAAATTCAAATCTTCTGAAGATAAGCATGCCCCGTTGAATACAAGTGATGTATGAAAACAATGCAGAGCAAAATGTGTCTTTGTTAGCAAAGGTAATCAACAATATGCTGCCAGTCATGTGCTGACAATTTTGCCTAGAAAGAAATGAAATCCATTTATGGTGCCTCTATCTATCTTTTGATACTTGTTTTAATTCTTAAAATTTTATTTTAATTAGATAAAAGGTTTTTAAGCAAAATTACATATCAGCAAGCATAAGTTTAAAATTATAATTCCTTAGTCTATTTGTTAAACTGTAATTTCTTTGGTTACCCTCTATAAATATTTACTGTATGGCTATTCGTCACTGGAAAAACAGAAGTGAACAGGACATATTTCCCACCACTTAAGAGACTTATATTCTACTGGATTACATACTGGTTATATATCACTGCTTTCACAAGTATGTGTTAATTAGGTTACCTAGTAAGAGTCCCAGTTTCAATCTATACTTTCACAGAATAACAATACTCAAAATATCATGTTTTATTCTTGCTCTAAAAGGTTTTACTTATTATACTTTGATATGAGAATTTGATTCAAATTTATTATGGGCTTTAATGCACACACACACACACACACACACACACACACACACACACACACCAGCCTGAATCTATACCTAAACTGGTTAAATCAAGAATCATGTCTACCAACTATGAGCAAAAAAATTAAAATTTTATAGATTATTCTTTCACATGAAAAAATCAGAAGAGATATCTCATTAACTAATAAAGCTAACAATAAAAACAATGAAAGGTTTAAAACTATGTGTTTGCTAAAGCAAGGGAAAATTCCAATGAAATACCTCACAGCTGCCACAAGTGTCAGGAAAAAAAATCTCATTGTATATATCACTATTAAACAAAATCTTCAGCTTCATCCCAATGTTGGCAGTTTAGGAGATACGTAATAATGAACAGTGATTAAATTGCGGCTGCATTTTCTTTGATCCAATCTCCCTGCTCGCTCTCTCTCTCTCTCTCTTTCTCTCTCTCTCTCCCTTTCTCTAATACTCTCCTTCCCACACAACAAAGTATAATAAATAAGTATACTTCCCAACAAAGTATAATAAATTAGTAAAAGTTTTTTTTTAAGTGTATAGTTGCCAGATATGTTTACTATATCAAGCATCCCAAATGGTCATAAACTACAATGATCTCTTCCACCACATTCTCAGATGGTAATATTCTCACCCTTAGTTCTACAGTCCCTATTCTATATCATTTTACCCTAATACATTGTTAACTAGGTCATTGCTTGGGATCATGGCAGTATGTTAGTGGAATGAAAGAACCATGCCTAGAATCAAAATGCACTAATCAGCACCGTGGAGCTCTGGAAAAAAAACTGATTCCAGTTTCAACACAATAGTGGCTGCTTCTGTGTGTTCATTTGTAAAATGAGGGCTCTATCTATTATTAAGGGTGACTACCACTTTGATTTATCTTATTCCTCTGAAGCAAGGGAAAAATAAAAACACCATTTGTACACAGGAATAAAATGACAAAATCAGAGTTAATTCTGAAAGTCATAATCTATATATCCAGTCCTAAGAAAAATCATTAAGAGATAAATGTTTAAAAAAGAATACTGCAGTGAAATATAGATTATTTCCAAAATCTATCCTAAACATTTTATTAATTATATAATAAAGGTGCCCTTGAATTGAGTACTAAGCATTCAGTAGGCTTAGGTAAGAAGATCATATGAACCAGAACACAATTCATTTTTATTCCTACTGAAAATAGACAGGCCCACAGAGATTTGAATTTACTATTCTGATTCACTTTATATACACATCAGAGGGCTCCTAAAGCTATCTTTGAAATTAGCCATACAGTCAATACCAACTAAGGGGTTAGATACATCACAGATATACCAATACAACTTTCTCTTAAGAGCAAACTGAGGTATTCAAATAAGTAATAAATTCAGAGAAAATACCATATATGATTTCAAAATAATTGCAGAGTGGCCCAAAGTAACAAAAGATAGCACAGA